CCTGGGTAAGGCCATTCCTGGCGCTGGCCGCGTGCGGCTGCACGCGCAGCACACGTATCCCCTGAGCTGCCGGCGGCGGCCGTCCCTCGGTCGGTGCATGCACTTTGTGATAAGGCACTGAAGAGACGGAGTCAGAATTCTCCCTGCTTTATCCAGAGTGCAGATACTACCCACTGCTACAAGGACTACGGATACACAGAACGTGGACTTCTCACTGCTTACTACGGCACTACGTATTTTTAATCGTGAAGTTTAAAACTTAACGGCACGTACAGGACGATTGCTTTCTTCTAACATCACAGTTTCCTTTTGTTTTTTTTTTTTTTTCTCCTTAAATCCATAAACTAAAAACGACTATACAGGCATACAGACAAAAAGGGGGCAGAGAGCCTCTCTTCTCCTAGGTCACCAGTTCTCTCAAGGTGGTGGGAATTTGTTCGTGTTCACTGTGGTTACTTTTCTGCTGGCAAAAATAAAAAAAGAAAAAAAAAAAAAGAGTCTTGTATCTTTGTGTGTACAAATGCACAAACGTTTGCACACCCATGCACACGCTCGCTCTTTCACACAAGCCCAAACTGAGGTATGTGGGGATGCAACTTTGAAAAACATTGTCTGAAGTCAGAACAGTTTTCCTTTCAAGTGAAGAGGCCACCGGAGACCAAGCAGCGTGAAACTCCTATCTGTATCTGAAACAGGTCGCATGAAAATTTTCATTGAGTTGGGTTGAAAGTTTTAATTAAAATACTGAACTTTACCTTAACTGCTATAAAAGGTACATAATACTTTACAGATCATTCAAGGAGAAGAGAATTATTACTTTTTTTTTATTAAAGATGATATTTTACTCCAAAGTACTGAATATAGTATCTTTTTTTAATAGGCATAACATTCAAAAAGAGATTTAAGAAAGGATGAAAATTTAGTTTCCTATTTCACTTGGAAACGAACTTTTGCTGCACAATAGAAAGGTTCTAGTGTACTGTGAACAACCTACGCTCTATATGTACATATTGCTGGTACCTGTATGGGATTATTGCCAATCTTTCCAGCTGTTTTTGCTGTGGTAGTGAGGCTGTATGTGAAATTAACCCCGTCTGTTCGCAGGTGCATGCATGCAGGTGCACACACGCATCTTTCCGTCTTTACATTTTTTGCAGCAGAGGTCTGATTGAGCCATGAATGGCGAACGGTAACCAACCATACAGATAGGAGTATTCCATCCACGCGCCAACTCGAATTTTTACACAGTGATTCGCTGAACACAAACCCGACCCTAAGAACACCCACGGAACACAGGTTTTCCTTTCTACACAGAGTACTTCTTTGGATACTAAACACCGATGCCTTCAGCACTACCTCCAGACAAACCACGACTTGTACGGGTTACCATTCCGCCTATTTGTGACCCCTACAAAAAATATAATTACATGTATCATGATAAAGCAATCTGTCATCTAAAAATCATCCTTATTATACACTATACAAGCTATTTTACAATCATTTAATAAATTGCTTTTAAAGCTGCAGTAGCCCTTCCCTTCTTCTCTCAGATCAGCGAATATACCGATTATACATATTTGAAACTATAACTAAATATAAAAATATATTAGGTTTTGTATTTTATCAGATGATCGTTCTCATTTCTATTACACAAATAATCTGGCCACTTTTGAGTAAAAATCAAATTTTAGAGTGGCTTAGTAAATATTTAAATTTTGAGATACAGAAAATTGTTAAGGTGCACGTAGAAAAGGCTACTACAGCTTCTAAACGTTTTAAAATATAGTTATCAATGGCAACAAGGAGAAATTCACAAGACCTATGGTAGTTTTATGGCACGCGAGTAATTCGGTATGAAGGGATGCAGCCTTACAAAGACAGAAAGTTTGACATACGACTCTAAGACCACGAAATCAGTAGCGGAGCTTTCCTGCTCTCCAGGAAAGAGGATGGACCAGTCGGTGAGCGGTGGAGGTGTGAGAACGGGGCTGTAGCCACACGAGGTTGGAGTCTGTATATCCAGAGCCACAGTCCGCCCGCGCGGCTGCTCGGCTTTACTGCCCGCGGGAGGGGAGACATCTCACCGGAGAGAAGGTTTCTAGAATCGATACAAGAAAACAGAACAGAACCAAACCACTGGGCAAAATTACACATCTGCCTCTTGAGTCAATGGTACTTCTCCATATATACTCGTATGATGAGAGATTTAAGTGTATAGAAAATGTGAGTTTCTCCACACAGAAGTAAACTTTTCTTAAGCTATGCATATTTTCCTGAAAATTTCCTGATGGGCAGTCAGGACTGATCTTCTTGGCATCAATGCAGCCCATGACTCTTATAGTTATGGCTGTTGCATTATATGCAAAAAATCAGGCTTTTTTTTTTTTTTCAATATATAAAATAACCTGCTCATTTACATCCAGTTAGGACTGGGTTAATTTTCTATGAATCTGCATATCCAACGCTTTTGCACATATACCAAAAGTATTTGTTTTATTCGCATCTATTTAAATTAGATTTGAGAGTGTTCTCCCACCCACCCTGGCTCTTAAAAAATGCCAAATTTCTATGGTCACTTTGACAGTTGAAAGCTATTAGGTTAGAAAAGCCCAACCCATTTTCACATGAATATACTCAAGGATTACTGTCTAGAGGTCATTTAGGAAAGCTACGAGCTGCCCCACCTTAAAAAACCAGCTGTACAATAGGCATCTTGAAGTATTACAAAAAAATTATGTAAGAAAAAATGAACAAGCCTAGTTCACGGTATATAAAGTTAAAGGAAATTGCTAAAACCAGACAGTAATAGCTATAAAAGGCACAACTTCCCTTTTCTGATATACACTTGTAAACTTTCTTCAGGTTACATGCATAAACCAAAATGCTACCTTAACTTTAAAAAAAAAAAATCCAAAACACTTTACTAAAAAAAAAAAAAAGCCTAGAAAATTGTCTCCAGCCAACTGCAGAAATTAATTAGCAGAATGTTCATAACACAGCCTCAGATCTTGTCACCGGTGGTTTTGACGCATCCATGGATGTTGCACGAGGGGAGATATACAATTTCTGACAAATAAGATTTATTTTCCTTTTATTTCTCCCCAATTATTTACCAAATGTGAGAAATCCGCTGCTTCTATAGCCTAAATCTTGGCCCTCTGTAAACCACATGTAGTGCATAATTACAAAAGAAACACCGCTGCAAGGACAAAATTAACAAGTCTGGTAGGTTTTTTCTTTACAAAAAAAAAAAGCTATCATTTGACGTTTTCTTAAGGCAACCCTTTTGTATTAAGGCGGTCACTTTTGATGAAATAAGAGCTTCTTGATATTTCCATTTGAGTATTTTGGTATCTGATTGCTGATGATTTCTGCCAACATTTCTGGGAACTCAATACTCATGGATTTATCCAAAAATGTCTGGAAGCAAAAGCTCAGAAGATTTTCAACCACCTACAAATGATAAAGCAAAGAATTACTGTCACAGGAGCACAGGCAGCAGCACTATTAACCGACATCCTTCCTTCCTCCTGCCTCCCCAGCATCCCGCCTCGACCCGGCTCGGGTAACACTCCCACCGCGGGCAGACCCGCAGAGTTATCCTCACTGTCATCAGTGAGACTTGCGACTGGCAGGCTGGTATAAAACAAGCAAACAGATCATGCAAGGTCTTTTACAAATACTGGAAAGATTTTGTATCAGTTCCCATTCTGGCACATAAATAACATGCATATGGATAAGTTTAACGAGGTCTCGCCAGGTGCTTGGTACACTAACAAGAAATAAAAAATAATTCTGAGGTCTCCGAGTTTCCCTTGCCTTATCCAGCCTAAACACTGCTTCGGCTCCTCTGTACCATATGCACACCGCAAAAGGAGACAGCCTGAATTCTGAAATTCCTTGCAAAGTGAGACCACTACCAATACTAAAAACAGCACTGATGCATTATTTTAACGTGATTTCAAACAATTCCACAGATTCTTGGATAGTTTGTCTCTGAGACAGTGCTGGTTTTAAACTTCACATCTCTGCTAGGACTGCAAAATCATTTAAAATTTCAGAGTTCCTCCATTTTAAAGCAACATAATTTTTAAAAACTAAAGAGACTGAAGATGCCATTAATTATAATATCAATTGCTGCAGCACATTCACCTCTGTCAACCACCCATTACTCAGGGAGCAGAGGAGTGTGACAGCTCCCCCCTGCCGCTCCCCCAGGTATTCATCCCTTTGAATAAAAAACAGGAGAGAGGAGATTACTATCGTGCCCCCAAACTTCTTCATCTGGAACATCGACAGCGTTCACTGAAGAACTTACATCATGCATAGAGTCCAGCAGTTTAGTCAGTTGATAGAACCGCTGCCAGTTCTGGCTGGAGTTCCCTTCTCTCTTCACGATGGCCTTTCCCAGCTCTTTGATGTACGTCATGCGGATTTCTTCAAACAAGGATTGGCTCTTCAGGCCTTCCTTGGGAACTGGAACATCGATACAAACCTTTAAGATGTTATACATCTATCAACTGTGGCATTATTTAAGTTCTCTTACATTAGTTACACAAAAATGACCAGAAAAAGGAGTTGGGAGTGCCTGAAATGACAGCTGAGAGACAAGGAGAGCGAGGACCGAGAGCGATGACTCACTGAGCAAACAGTCCAGGACTGCCGGCAAAATAAACATTTCATAAAAAACCCCAAAGGTACCTGAACAAGAACCAGGGAGAAGGGAACCAGAGCATGGAGGCCACGGCGCTGAGCCCTGGACGCGCCTCGATGGAGACCCACCAGGGCCAGAGCTCCCGCGTTCTCGATGGCGGGGAAACGTGACATGGGACAGATTCCACAGAAACCCCGTGTGCCGAGGGACGGCCAAGGACAGGATCACAGGATGGCTTGGCTCCGAAAGGGCCTTGAAAGATCATCGAGTTCCAGCCCTCCTGATGTGGATCAAGTGACACGTCCAGGCAAGGCAGGGACAGAGGGACTGGCCACCAAGGGACCGCGCGGGCCGGGGGACGCGGGGCGCAGCAGAGCTCCTCGGAGCAAGGACGGGATGTCGAGATGGTGCCGGCCAAGGGGCTGTGGGTCAGAAACCCAAGGTGTGGGGACCAAGGCCCGTATTCAGACTCAAACCCATGTTCAGGCCCTGGGCCTACATTCCCCTATGAGGATGGTACTTCTGGAGGCCAAGGACCAGGACATAAACGGGGGCAAACCAAGCATATGGACTCCAGTGGTCCTTAATTAAGATGTTTGATTTGAAGCCTTTGATTACGCTGGTGGACTGAATGGGAAGAGCTGAAGATACAGGAGAGAGCGAGCTGAGACAAAGGCGACTGAAAGAGAAAGGAGCAAAGAGACCACTAAGGGACCCTCCCTTCCCTAAAAAATCCAACCCTCCCTACTCTGTCAGCATCCGCGAGAGGTCAGAGTGAAGTATCCTATCTGCCTCGTCTACACAGGAGATGACAACACGTCAACTGTTGCTTCGATAATTTAAACGGAAAGGTCTGTGAGCTATGTCTAGTGTGAGCTGCGTGTCTAGACCGCGTGGGACTCCTGCTTTACCCTCCTCTTCTTCCTCTTCTCTTGGAAAACTTACACAGAAACACAATAACCGTAAATTAAAATTGTGAAGACGTGGATTAAAAAGCTGAACAAATTTCAGCTATTCAATTTGCAGAAGTTCCACAATGTACCCCTTACACAATGTACGTACTCAAAAATAAATGTGAAATAGATTGTCTCTCGCTGGGACAGAACAAAGGGGCCTTCTGCTGCCCAGCGCCAGCGCTTGCCACCCTTCGCCGGTGAACGGGCTGAATTCTACGAGTGTACTCTCTTCCCCATTTCTGCCATGGAAATTCCTTTCAGGAAATTTCCAATTCCTGTAAGGAAAGTTGGCCTACACCACATCCAAAACACTTGAGGAATTTTTTGGGAGAGAGTTCAGAAACTGCTCTAAATCTGCAGTTTTGGGGAAGTTTCAAGTTCCTACAAAGCCCATGGCAGCATGGAGCCAAAAGTTTCCTGTGAAAAGAGCCCTTGTCCCAGCTCAGGGCTGGCCGGCCGCCGCAGTGCCGGGCTGGCAGCACGGGGAGGAGCTGGTGGTGGCCGCGTACAGCACCCGGCGCC